TTCTAAATCTTTCCTTCCCTCCTCCCTGAAACTGGTTAGGCTCTTTCTGCCCATCTCCTTGTACAGTTGGTATAAATAAATACACAGACTGACATTGAGGAAATAAGACATTCTAGAGAGTCAAGACAATGGAGTAAGATGGTGGCATACTTGCTTAAGACTTAATTATTATTCAAAATGCCTTTGAACTTTCCAGACTCTGCCTAACACCCATGTCCTGTATCCTGTACAACCCATCCATACATAGACTGCCACATCCTCCTCCCTCTATCCTACTCTTTGAAACATCCATAAGTAGACTATCACACTCCCTTCCTACCTGCATCCTATCCTTGTAACAAGAATATTGTAGGATTTTAGTGTTATCATATTTGCAATTCTTTGGATTTCTGGAAGACTATTAAACATGATGGGGGAAAATTATGACTAAGTCTAAGCTCAGATGGCTGGAACATCTTTCTCCCTTTATTCATTTGTATGGATCTTAAAGATTCACTTAGTTTTGTCTGAGAAGCCAGTGAAAAGTTAAACCTCACCAAGTTTGGCACCCATAACTTTGCACCATTGGAACATTCCAACACAGGGGGGCAGATGTTTTATCTCAAGTGTCATCTTAGCACTTGGACAATCTGATGTCATTTTTGAGATGTGTGTGGCATGGGCTGAAGCACTGGAACAGAGAGGGGAGGAGACAGTAAGGGAATCCAGAGCTTTGAAGGAATCTACAGCCCTTGATTATGATGGAGAGAAAAAAAAATCACGACAATTTATGTCTTCAGTTGAACTTGAGTTGGAAGAGGGGATGGTCACTCAACTCTGGCTTCACAGAGGCTGGCAATTTGTGCGGTCAAGGCCCTAAATCTCAGTTATTTGAGGAGTCACCAGGCAGAAAGACCCTTAAAGGGACTGTCTGTACACCTTTGCAGGCCTGGCTCCTGCACTCAGCCTCTCAGGTCTGTGGAATCCTTGCGGTTAGCTGGAAGTTAACAAACCCGGTGTGGCTCAGCGGCCCCCTGCACAGGGCATGCATATTAAAGCCGACAATGCTTACAAATGTAAATAAGGGTAGATTGATTAGGAACAACATTATCGCTGGGAATGTCACACTCACTTGCATCAGCAATGAGGCAAATTGGGGGCAGCCTCGGCCCTGACCACCCAAGTCGAGCAGCCTTTTTAGACTGGCTCCTCTTCCCTTTCTTAAAACGTTACAGAAACAAGGCCAATTAGATCCCCAAAGTAATTCATCTCTATGAAAAAAGCAGACCACAGGGGAAGCGGCGGGTGGGGGCTGGGGAGATTAAGATAGCGCTTGTTAGAGAGAGCCTGGGGATTGCGCCCTGAAACCTACGGGTAGAGTTTACAGGTCAGGACCATTGTCTGGGATGCTGAAAAGTTAACCTATCAAACAGCGGGCGGGGGGTTGCAGAGCACTGCAAACCTCAGGGTTCCATGTTCAAAACGTTTAAGAATTAAGTCAAACTGAGAGAAAAGCGTCCGAGTGGAAGAGGCTTTGCATAGCTACACTATAGTTTCATTCTAGAATCCCAGAATCCAAACAGCTATACTGCAACCAAAGAAGTAAAAAACGGGGGAGGGGAGGGGCGGCGGTGGAGCAGCTAATGCTTAGGAGTAAAATATTGTAAGGGATTTGAAAGACAGCTTTCATTGGGCTATGTAGTTACCTGCCTAACATACTTAGAGCCAGCTTCAAATTTAAAATCAGGCTGACCTTTGAACTCGGGGTGTCACCCTCAAGTTTCGAAAACAATCCAATTTCCAAGAGCACGAAATGTGAACGCTAAAGTAGCAGTCCAGCCTTTTCTGCTCTATGCTGATAACCAAGCTGTCAGAGAGAAGGATTTTACTCCCAGGCTTAAGGGCTCCGTTCCCAGCACTTTGCTCTGTTAAGGTAGTGTCCTTCCCCTCACCCTGCATGCCTTCCCTGCAGGATTTTTCAGCTGCATTTCCGAAAGTCAGTCTTTGGAAAATCACGTGCTCCCTGGTGTTAGGAATTTTGAATTTCCGCGCTGGCCCCCAGGTCCTCTTCCTTATTCTGTGAGCACCCCCAAACGCTTCTACTCGGTCACTGTTCTCTCAGATTCACCACCCTGCTTCAGGAACCGCGCAGGTTTTGTGGGTTTGGGATTCGGGATGGCAAAGCGTCCCAGGGAAGCCCGGAAGGAGATAAGGCTAAAGGGGAGCAACGAAGGACTGGACTGCAACGCGGTGGGAGGGGAAGTACCCCCACCCCCGAGCCGCGTGCACCGCCGGTGGCCGCGCACCCCTGCGCGGCCCCAACCTAGCCGCTGCCTGCGCCACTGAATGGAGGGGCCGAAGTGCAGCCATTGGCCGTCAGCAGGGAGGCCGTGCGCGCATTGGGCAGCACGAGGGGGCCGGGCCGCCTTCAGGAATGTACTACGGCGTGTCCGGCACGTCTGTCCGCGCCGGCCAAGCGCGCACACCGTTCAGGGCCCGGGAAGGCGGTGCATTCGGCGTTTAAGGGCTAGAGGCGCGCAGCCCCAGCGGGCCGACCCGGTTACCTGCTGCGCCCGCGCCCCGCGCAGGCCCCAGACCGCCGGAGCGCGCGTGCGCGTGCGCGCTAACGCGTGCGCGCGGACGGGCCTCTTGGTCTGGGTCACGTGGCGGGGCAGGCTCCGCCTTCTCCCCCGCTCCTCCCCCTTTCCCTCCATCTGGGTTTCTTTCTTTCCTTTCTTCTTATTTTTTTTTTTCAATGAACACACACCGTGTGCATCTTAAAGTCACACTGCCCCATTTCACCGCTCCAGCTGGCTTCTCACTACTCCAGTTACCTCTGCAGTTCGAGTGGGAAAAGAAATATAATAAATAGGATGAGGCAGAATCCAGAGCTTCTAGGTCTGGTGTCTACTGTAGGAACTTAACTCGAAAACTTATTGGAGAATGGAATGTGCTTTCTTAAGTGTTTTTCCCCCGCTTAAGAAGCATAGTTGTGTATTATTTTGTCGCTGCCTCCAGGACACCCCCTCTACACCCCGCCCCGAAGGTCTCATGATTTTTGTTCAACGTAAAGTGAATCCCCGGGATGTCTTGGTGACACTGGAAGCAATATCGGGACGAACCCGCGCGATCTGTGCACAATTTGTTTCAAATGAATCTGACATCAAAGCCTTTATTCCCTCCTACGTCACACTATTAAATATTACAGATGCGTACCGAGTTTTACTTTTTAAGAAAAGCCTGAAATTGACTTTAAGGATGTGTTAGTTAAAAGTGGGGGTTCAGATGAAACCCAAATAATCGGGAAATCTCTCAATTCCCTTTCTCTGGGCTGCTGAGAAATATATATATATATATATATATATATATATATACATATATATATAGAAAATAAATATATATATACACACATATTTAAAGATTCAAATTTTAAAAAAGCCTCTACTTCCACGAGATTGTCTGGTTTCTCTTTACAAATGTCTGGGTTCTCTTTACAAACTCTTTCAAATTGGACTGTGCTTTTTTTTTTACGGGGGGGGTGCTAGGGATTTTTTTTTAAGGGTGGCTTTTCCCAACATCCTTGTTCTCCTCTTTAACTTTCCATTTTGTTTATCTTAATACGAGGCGTTGTTCCCTGCGAGAGTCTAAGTCTTGCCTTTGGTTATAAAAGAAAAGAGGAGGAAAAAAAAAAATTGGCACACACGGGCGTACTATCCACACCGCCCTGTCATTATTGGTGCAGGCCTGGGAATTCAAGGCGGACCTCCCAGTATTTGCTGCAGCTTGAGGCCAAAGTGTCTCTAAAGGGCTTTTCTTTGAGGAATCTCAGAAATTGTTTAAGCGCTTAAAAAAATATTACAGATCCTCCAGTCTACCATGAGGCAAATGCTCCTCCTGTATGTGTGAACGTGTGCGTGTGTGTGTGTGTTTGCGCGCGCTCGTAAAAGACATCTCACAAAAAGAAGACACTGTTGAAAAGAAAAGGAATAAGAAAGAAAGGAGGGGGGAGCATTCCTTAATGGAAGTATTGCATGAGAGGTTGGCGCTGAGAGAGTCCCCCCCCCAGCCGGGGATGCACACACGGGGGTTGCCTACCTGGGTGGTCTCTCTACTTTGGTGAGCTGTTGCTAAGCAGCTAATAATAGTCATGTTTGCTGAGTAATTTCTGCCCTCCGCGAGCCAATCGCGTCGCAGAAACCCAAGCCATCTGACAGCCCCGGGGGCGGGAGTTCCAGCCTTTTTCTCTTTCGCTCGCTCTCTCCCCCTCCACCCCCTCCCCTCCTCCTCCTCTTTCTCCAAATGGAGAGAGTTCTTTTTTTTCTTCTTCCATCTCATCTATTGAGTCAAGGAGCTGCTGCGGCCGCTGCCCGCTGCACACACACAGAGCGGAGTCCCCAGGTCCCGGGAGCGAGAGAGGCGCGCGGCGCGGGGGCAGAATGGTCCAGCGGGTCGGTGAGGAGAACAAGAAAGCAGAGTCCGGGACCGAGCAGCCACCGCGAACCCAGCAGTCCGAGAACGAGCAGCCGCTTCAGAAGCCGCCACCGCCAACCTCAGCCGCAACAGCAGCAGCAGCCGCAGCAGCAGCGGGAGCAGCGGCTGCCCCGGCCCGGCATCGCTGAGACCCGCCGGGCACCGTCGCGTCGCCGGCAGCGGGCGCCGAGGGAGACAGAACGAGTGGCGGGGGTCTGCGCGCGCCTTCTGCCGTGAAGGGGTCGCGGCGCGGGGCGGGGACGTCTGGAGGGACTTGGGGACCGCGAGGCGTGCCCTGGAAGCGCCGGCTCTCGCCTTCCCGCGAGCTGGATGTGGGCAGCGGCGGCCGCAGAGACCTCGGGACTCACGCGCAATGTGGCAATGGAAGGCGCAGGGTCTGAGTCCCCGGCATCGGCCACGGCCACAGCACCCGCAGCGCCCGCCGTGTGAGCGGCAGCAGCGGGTCTGTCACCCGGAGCCGGAGTCCCCGGCGGCCAGCAGCGTCCTCGCGAGCCGAGCGCCTAGGCGCGCCCGGAGCCCGCGGCGGCGGCGGCAACATGGCCTCGGCTGGTAACGCCGCCGGGGCCCTGGGCAGGCAGGCCGGCGGCGGGAGGCGCAGACGGACCGGGGGACTGCACCGCGCCGCGCCGGACCGGGACTATCTGCACCGGCCCAGCTACTGCGACGCTGCCTTCGCTCTGGAGCAGATTTCCAAGGTGCATGCCTGTCCCCTCCTCCTTCTCCACACTTTCCTCCTCTTCCTCTTTGGGATCCCTGCCACACACGCACACAGACACCCTCCTGAGAAAGCAGAAGACGAGTGAAGGTTGAAAATTTCAAACCCTCCCTCCGGACTTCGGAGGAAAGGGCTGTCTGAGGTCCGCAGGGGGTGGAGGGGTGCGTGCGTGCGTGTGTGTGTGCGTGTGTGGTGTGTGCGCGCGCACACGCCCTCCCTGGTGTGCCTTTTCCGGAGCTTTGGAAACGGTCCTGAGTGGACCACCTCCAGGGCGGCCGCGGTGCAGCTCTGCCCCCGGCCTTAGCGCCCTTCACCCGTGCCCCTGCCCTAGGTTGCGGCTTAAACCTCCGCGTTGCCACATTTCTTAACCTCTTCGAGGGGGAGGCGGAGTGGAGAGAGGCGGAGAGAGGCAGAGGGGAGGGAGCCAAAGTAAAGGTGGTTTCCTTTTTTGGCAGCCGGTTCTGCTTTCGTTGAGCTTGAAATCTCTGCTCCCTTAAAAATTATTCTCGGGAGAGGACGTCCCCTCTCTTCCAGGTTTTGGGCCGCCTCTTCTCCCAGCCTGCCGGGGAGAGGGGCAATTGTAAACAAGTTGCCACCTTAAATCTTAGGTGCTGGTGTGCTGAACGGCCGGGTTCATTGTGTTTACGAGGCTGGCTGAAATGTGTGGAATCCGGGGAAGGCGAGCACCTAGCCTGGGGCCCGCTGGGGCCCTGGCCAGCACCAGGGCTCCGCCGACCCGACAGCAGCCTGCGCCCAGCCAGGACCCCCGCCGGCGCCAGCCTGGGCCTCTTCCCCGTACACTCGGCTGTTTTTTTTTAAGATTTCACCAAGAGGGAGTGGGAGAGGAGGGAGAGATCTTATGGCCGCCCTCTTCAGAGCACAAATAGTGTAAGTTGCAGATGGCTGCCGCACTTCTGGCTGAGCTCCCGCGGCGTCTCCCAAGGCCGTGGAAAAGTGTCTGGAGTGAGCTCTGGTTGCCGGGCTCACCACGTGGACCCCCGCGTGCAGCCACCCGCCAGGCCGGGGACCAGATGGGCCACGGTAGCTGTATATTGTCCCTAAGTGCGCTTGCGCTCTTAACCCGCCCTCCGGGTTACCCGAGGAGGCCGAAGGCTGGAGCAGGCTTTAGGGCAAGGGGGGAATCGTGGCCTGCTGGTTTAGTGTTGGACTTCTCTGCTAGCATCACTCAGGCCCTCCCTCTCCAGGTCCTCGATACTAGTGCCTGCCTGCCGTTGGCGGTTCCTCAGTTAGCCTCTCTCCCCAGTACCCCAAGTCTCATTCAGGGATAGTGCTCAGGCCATGCGTGGGGTGCCCCGTGGTACCTAGAGTGCAGTTCCCACGCTGCAGCCTGGCTCTAATTTACAACCTAGTCCCCCACACCCCCAGGGCTCCCTCTGACCAGTCCAGGTTCCAGCCCGGAGGGTAAATCCTTGCGCCACGGTCGCCCACGCCCCCCACTGCTGGGGGTGGGGGGGATCCACAGGCGGGTGTGCTCGGGTAGCGACTCCCGGTCGTTCACTCCTCCCTTCTGCTTCGTCCCCAGGGGAAGGCTACTGGCCGGAAAGCACCGCTGTGGCTGAGAGCGAAGTTTCAGAGACTCTTATTTAAACTGGGTTGTTACATTCAAAAGAACTGCGGCAAGTTTTTGGTTGTGGGTCTCCTTATATTTGGGGCCTTCGCTGTGGGATTAAAGGCAGCTAATCTCGAGACCAACGTGGAGGAGCTGTGGGTGGAAGGTAAGAGACCCGGCGCCGCTGGCGCGCCCTTCGTCTTCCTTCCCTTCCCTGTGTTTGATAAAGATATTTGCCAGCCTGCACCTAGAGCCTCGCAGTGGCCGGCGAAGCCCCTGCCCGCACCAGGGGCGACTGTTTATTGTTTGCATGCCTGGCCTGTAGCCAGGCCCGCCCGACAAAGGCCTCGCTGTAATCTACTCGGGGCGCTGCGCCTTGCTAGGTGTGGTGGGAGAGAGTGGCGGGGGCGCGAGGCCCCTGCGCGGGACGGACCACTCGGCAGGGCCGAGGGGGTGGTCCCTGAGTTCGGCCTGCACCGCCTGCCTGGCCCTGGCCAGGGTGCCAGCGGCCGGAGGAAGGCCTCTCGGATCTGGGCTCTTGGGATAGGCTTCCTTCCCTCCCCCCACCCACCCACCGCGTCTGCCGAGAAAGGAGAGGGGGGTGGAGGGCAAGGCCACCCCTCTAGCTGCAGGGAGTGTGCGCGCCCCCGGGGCGCGCGGGGGGCGGGCGCCGCGCAGGCCTGCGGAGGCGGCCGCGTGTGTGGTCCTGTTTTTGGACAGCTTTCAACTCTGGGGGAAAAAAACATTTGTCTCAAGGTACAAAAAAAAAGGGGCGGGGGGATTGAAAAAAAATAGTAAAGCACAAACTGGAAAGCGTGTTTGCAAAGTAGATTAATGTTTCCTCGCGGGTGGGGACTTTTTAAATGGAATTATTCGGAGGAGGGGGGAAGGCTGCGTTTGGCAGGCTTGCAAGAAAGAAATGTGTGTTTTTAAAGAATGCAGGTTTGATGGGAGGGGCCACGGGAGCTCCCCCTGGGGTGTGTGTGCCGGTCTTTTATCCAGGTTCCTGGATTTGGGGGGTTGGGGACCTGCTTTAGAAAAGGACTTGTAAATTGAAAATAGGTTCTCGAATTCCCCCTACCCCCACCACCACGGATGTTTTTACGTCCTTTGTGATCATAGGCTTTTGTTTTTCCTTTTCTTGTTGGTTGGTCGTTTCTCAGTTATCTCTTTGAAAAGTATCAATCCCTTGTTTGAAAACATTTTAGCCTCTGGTAAACACTACTTGGGGCAGATGTTTCAATCCTAAATATCTTGGTGCATGTCTACTGTAAGCCACCCAGGGCAGAACTTGGAAACCGGAGTTTTTGAGTAATTCCTCAGGATGGCCTTGGAAACTAACCTTCCAGAACATTCCCTTTTTGGTGTTTTGCAAACTAGTGGTGGAGTATGTAGTTGAAAAGTGACAATTAAAATAATAGTTGAAAAGTGACAATTAAAATAATAATCCAAATCGTTAAAAGCAGAACGCATTCCTGCCGTAAGTAGCTTGGTTAATGAGTACAAAAGTGTCTTTTGGATTGATTCCATTAGGTAATTTACCCCCACTTTGCCTCCTTGTCATTGGTAGTGCAGGGAATAGTTTTATTGAGCACCCACTAGTCCCTTAGCAACACATTTCCTGAGTTTCTATACTGCTGTAGGCACTCTGGTAGGAGACATTGCCTAGTACCCTGTGCATCAATCAGACTACTGGAACTCAGTGCGTTTTCACTGGGTTTAGATTTACACTTGGAACTGGTTTATGAAACTTAGGAGAAAAAAAAAAAGGCATTAGTGGGTGTCTCGAGGCAGACTTGGGTACTGGACAGACAAGAGGCAAGAGGGTGTTGTAGTAGGAACAGGCCACTGCCTACAAGACCCTGGAAACCAGCAGGTTTATAGTGTAGAAGCGGAACTCGTGGGTCTACCGTTGGATTTTTCTTCACCGATGACCATGCAACGGTTTGGTTTTTAGTAGTTGGAGCAGTTGTTTCAAGAATGACAGCAGACTTATGAAGAGGGACTTGACACACCTGAGGCAGACACCCTGGCCTGCTTTTGGCATTGAGGACATCCCACCTCCCCCCCAGCTAGTACAGGGGATAACCTGGGGCACCAGCATGCTAGGCACCCCTCCCCCTCTGAGCCACATCCCCAATTCCAGTCTCAGAGTCTTAGCTCCTTCCAGCAATGGCATTTTAGTACATACAGCTCATTGGTTCTTGGAAACACTTAATACTTTTTGAGCATACTCTGGGTAGTATGTATGTATTTATTTTTACAAGCCTTAGAACTCAGTAAAGTACCTACTACTTTATTTTTTATAACATGATCATATATATGTCTATACAGTTATTCTTTTTTTTTTTTTTTCTTCAAATAATGACCTGTTCACTTTTCCTACCATTGAATTTAGGTCATTTAGTCATTGCCTTGGCCTCCTTCAACTCATTTATTTCTTGATTGCCTTCTACAGGAAGCAAGTTTCATAAATTAGTTAAGCTGGGAACCCAATGTCACAGTACCTAGAGGTCTTGTTTATGGTATACGGAATTTAGTGTTACTCTGTGAGCCTTTGCTTTTAGAAATAAATTCCCAGTGGTTATGGGTAGCTCTGGAGGTCAGTAAATTACAGTGATCAGTTTGGGTTCACCTTTGCTTCATCAGTCTCTTAGGTAAGTTCTTTATCACTGTCGGCAAAGTTACCTGATACTTTCTTCAGGTTCTGTGTGTGATTACAGGAGCCAAGAGTTTACTGTGCACACAAACAAGATGAGGAGAGGTCTCACATGTCCCCAGTTAAGCATCAGAAGGGAGGAAAGACAGATTGTAAGAGAAGAGGGAAGCTGGAGGACAGTTTAGAAAGGTTGCTGTGTCTTCTGCGATGAGTTGCCTGTGTGTGTGTGTTTCTGTCTGCCAAAATACATATTTTCACTACCACCAGAAAATTTAGGAATCTCCTCCACGGCTGTATATCATAGCTTAATATCCTGAAGAGATAACTGTAACCTCACCGCAAAGATGAAGCCATTGTTTCCCTTCCCCCCTCCCTTCACACACACACACACACACACACACCACGCTGTCTGTGCATGGATAAGTGACGTTTCGATTCTGTTAAGATGTCGGTTTAATGATCACCTGTCAAGAAACTAACCATATATGAATCTTGGGGTGTATTTTTTTTTTGCACGTCACAGATGTCAACAAGAGCATACTTGTGAACGGACCAGAAAGGTTTGATAAAGACCTTGGTGTGGTTGGGCACCTACCGTCACAGAAACGTGACGGCACATAAACGCAAAGTCACAAATGGCTTTTTCCGGGGGTAGTATATGGTCAGTGTGAGTTCTCTGTGCCTACTCTGCGCCAGGCAATGGCCAAAACTCATGAGGAGAAGGGTGATGCCAACCTGTAGATGAGTCACTAGATGGTTAATTGCCAAGTTGCTAGGGAAATCAGCCAAGATTTTCAGGATGGTCCCGGGCCTGGGAAGGTAGAGGTGAGGGACATTCTAGGCAGAAGAAAGAGGATGAGTGAAGGCTCAAAAAAAAAGTTTGGTGTGTGTGTGTGGGGGGGGGTAGCCTTTAGTGTTAACCTTCCAGTGACAGAATGAACGGTGGGGGGGGGCATCTGGTGGCTATTTCTTCAACATGCTGTAGTGGATCTGCAGTTCTTAATTAGCTCCTGGTACCCTTCCTGATACCAGAAGTGTTTGTATTTACTTCTCAGGATGCTTAAGGAAACTGTTTTTTGTTTTTAAATTGTGCCCATTTCTCAATGGCATTTCTTTTGGCTTAGCCAATCTGCCTTCCTACTTAATATCTGCATCCCTTTGCCTACTCCCCCCCACCCCCTCCAGCTCTCTGTTACAAGTTTGTTGTCAAGCTACTCTTGTGACAGAATCTTCATTTATCTCCCAGGATAAAAGCTTAGCCAGCGCCTGGCCCCCTTTTCTGAAAAGGGCAACAACCTTGAAATGACTCCATATTGCCCTGGTGTTTGGTTATTAAGGGCTTCAAGGCCAGTATGGGAGTGTGTGTGTGTGTGGGGGGGTGAGAATTAATTAAAGAGGAATAGAAGATTTTGCTTTAAAAAAAAAAAAAAACGCTTATTTGATGGGCAGTCACAGTCTCAGGCCTATACTGTGTGCTTTGTGTGTACATTGCACGGCCAGAGCCATCATCCTTCAATCCCTCAGCCTTGGCACTCACTGTGAGAGGCAGCACACCCCATAGAGTGTTCAGCAGAGCCCCCAGATTCTACCCACTGGGTCCCAGCAGCACTGTCCTAGTCAGGCCAGCGGAATCCCATTCATTGTTAGATTCCCCAACTGAGAACCACTGAGTTGGATGATGAATGCCTGGGTAGAACACCCATGCTTTGCTGCTCTGATTGGGTCTGCAAAGGCACCACTGTGTATGTGTGTGTCTGCACAGTTTGATGAACAAGAGGTGGCTATTCAAAGAGCAAGTGTACATACAGGAAAGGTGCAAGCAAGTTGTTGGCTTTCCTTTTCTTCTCAGAAAAGTGAATGACAAGTAAAAGCCACCAATAGCTGCTCGGAAAGAAAAGAAAAAAAAAAAAAAAACTAGCAGGTGGCTCAGGCATTCCTCACAAAGGGGCAGTTGGTGAGCCCTGAAACCATCTCTAGGCTGCCCACCATTCTCGACCCACCAAGAAGATCGTTCACAAGCCAGTTTGGGTCATGGACTGTTTGAGACGCATCCAGCGCCGCTTGGAGCTTGCAGGAGATGACAGCTTCCAGATGTATGAGCCGCCTGGTCTGTGTGTTTAGGTTATACACCACAGCTGATGCTGAGATTAATGCCGGGGAGATTGGTCTGCTTTTCCACAATACCGTGTTTATATTTCATTTGGATTTCTCCCTCAGTGCTGACCTGCCTGTGACCCCTGGGGCCCTATCCACTTGGGGTGAGGTGGTACTTACTAGCTCTTGCTAAATTTCTCTTGCTGGGGGGCGGTTGGTAAAGAGGGGTTCCACGTTCTGTAGAGAAAGGGGTTTTTGGATAGAGAGGGGCTTCTTGTGGCTGCCCGAGAGTGAGCCCCTAAAGACTGCTCAGCTCGGGAGGTGATGCATCAGGGTTCTGAAATGCAGGGGTTTACAGTTATTTTGAAGGAGACAGGATTTCATGGGAGCCATTTCGCACAAAAGTCTTTTAT